AGAAAAAAATACATCTCCTTCTATTCTTTTTCTCATAGCACAGATTTTTTTCCCCCCGCCTCCTGAGCTAGCAGAATAGTAGTGAGTTTTGCGGAAATTGCTTTTTCCCTATTAATTGAATTCTCAGACCACTGTTCTTTCCCCAGTACAAGCTTGTAAACTTTTTTTTCCCCATTTTTTTTGAGGAGGATAGAGGATGGAAGGAGACAAGGACAGCTTGATGCATTTAAGTGAACTTCCATTAAAAAATTTCCCTTTCATTTGTATTCTGCTAGCATAATCTGACCATATAGCGTTCCTGGTACCTTCCCTTACTGATGAAGAGTGCTAATGGGCAGACTTAAATCAGTACCCGTTGCAGTTTAGATGGGCTGGACGGAAATGGGGGCATTTTTATTCAGGTTATCTTTTTCAGATGCTTGTGAACGTGGGAGGATGATGAATCTATAAAGACATCGTCTCCTTGATCTGCCTAACTTAGCATGCGGTGCGTGGTTACAAGTTTTCTTACACTTTTACCATGTAGAAACAGTGTGACAGGGATGGATAACGTGTTTCTAAGGATGCTGCTTTTTCCATGCTTTTCACACATACCCATCACTTTTGGGTTCGTACATAATTTTACTGTAAGCTGACAGGGTTACATGAGCTCTCTATTAAGCAACATATGTTACTCCCTTCTCCAGAAAGGGCAATTTTAATACTCTGCCCGTAGGAATGTGTTGCACAATGCTGTGTACACCAGCTGGCATTATTTTCCATCTAAAGTTATTTAAATAGTGAACTCCACATAAGAGGCAGATATTGAAAATAGTCTCCCAGTACCCTGAGGTCAATGGTAAGGCTCTTGTGCTCTGACCAAAGACACGTTTCTTTTCTAATTGAGACCATGAACATGTTTGGTTTTTTTTTTTTTCTTTTTTTAACTTTGGCATATCTCACACGTCCGTTTTCAGTCTTTGCTTAAGAAATTTAGTAGAAGCTTAGAGCTTCAGTCAGAGACTGAATGTGGAGCTGTGCGAGTCCTGGAACAGAAAGGGTTTCTCCTTGCTCTTTGTTTCCTGTGCGTTTCCCTGAAATTATTCTTTGCGATTATGTATCTTCTTGGATTGTAACATTGCTAAGATGGCCAAGATTTAATATAATTAACCCAAATTTGTTGTAGTATTACAGATATTTTAAAATCCAGAATTGTGCCCAAGATGGACAAACCACCTGGGCTGAAAGTCAAGAAAGCCATTCTGACCATTTAGTTATTTTTAAGTAATAGAGTGAAACGCTGCATGGTGTGAAACCAAAGAGGAAAGAGTCACCTAAAATCAGAACGCCATATCCAGAGAATGTGGGGTGAATTGCTGTCACCAAGCTCCCTGCACCTGGTCACTCCTGTCGCTCCTGTTGGGATGGGTAGCAGAGCTCCTCCTGAGCCTCCCGTCCCCTCCCAGCAGCAGAGCAGGTCCCACGCTGGTGGCTTTGAGAAACTCCCCCTTTTGCTTTGCCATACACATGATTTTGTATTGGCTCGGTGAGAAGCTCGTCAGCAGTGATGGTGGGATTTTTGGCACGACTTTGGGGATGGAGGGTGTGTTCCCAGCAAGGGCTGTACGGCGTCGGTCCAAAGTCCCTGGAAGCGGCTGGTTTTCTTCTCCTCTGGGTCAGCTGTTGCCTGCTGCTTTTGGATGTGGCTCTGCAGATGGTCTGAGAGTCCGTTCCATGGCATTTCCAACCCCACCGTCACCCCTGCTCTCCTCCCAGCAACACAGAAAGCTAAAACCCTAATGCTTTGCATCTCTCTTAATCTTTCTCTCTCCATTTCACAGCAGGAGGAGGGATGTTGACAAGTGTGGGCAGATCATGCAGGGTACCAGCCCAGCCCCGAGTACTGCACCTGAGCTGGGGCCTCTCCTGGTGCCCCGGGCTGACCGTGACCATCGGTTGCTGGGCGGTGTGAGGGCCCACGGTGAGACGTGCCTTTCTCCTGCCGCAGCCAGTGAGCAGCGTCCTGGCACGGCCAGGCTGCGAGCGGGGCTGGCATTTGAGCTGCTGCACCACGAGCCAGGAGGTCTGAGCACAGATTCTGCTCTGTGCGGTTTTGGGTTCATCCTTCAGAGCCTCTGTGGCTCAAACCTCACTTAAATGTATGGCACAAACCTAATTCTTCCTTTGATCTTAGCCAGAGCTACTCCTCGGTGTGAAATCCCTCTGGTTTGCTAAATTAGCCTGGTGAACGAGGCAGAGCAAATTGCAGGCTGCGGCCGCGAGCCGGGGTGAAGCCGCGCACCGACGGTGTCAATGGCCCTGTCGGGCTCTGCAGAGCAGGGCACGCTCCCTTTGGTTCGATCCACCGCCCCTCTCTCCTGGGTGCTTTTCCTCCCTTCTTGCAACCTATTTACCCAAACTCGAGTTTGAAAGCCCCTAAAAATCAGCAGTGTGTTTCCTGGGCAGTGGGACCCAGCGTACCTGCCCCACGCAGCCTGGCCGTGTGAGAAGTGGCTCGGCTGAATTGCCATTTTATCGGATCCTCTTCCTCACTAATTTGTTACTAAATTACGGTTGGTGTTTCGTTAGAGCCCTGGTGGGTATGAGCTCATTAGCGTTTTATGGGCTAGAGCTGCGCTCTACTGCGTGGGAAGCGTATCCCAAAGAGTGCCCATGCTTATTGGAGTGATTGCGCTAACGAGCTCCGGTTGGGGCGGAGTGTGCAGTAGCTCTCCAAGCGCATGGCTCGCACTTGCAAAGGAGCTTGGCACTCACCTTGGTGTCGGGATAAAGGTCTGGATTTATGCACGGGCTTAAGAAATCCATCTGGTTGTCCCCTCTGAGAATTTGACTTCTTTGCTCCCGTCGGTTCTTGCTGCAGTTTTGCCGTGAGCCATCAGCACGAGGGGACTTCGGCTTCAGGGTGGCAGAGGCAAAACATTTTTCCCCATGGCGCTCCCCTCTGCCAGGCTCGGGGCGAGCCCAGGCAGAATCCCTCACACGCAGCCAGGGATTGCGGAAGCCTCTCTAAGGAGCTCTGTCTTGATTCTGTCCCTGAAACGCATGCCGAGGCTGGGTAGCATCTTTGTTGAAACACCCTGGCCTGTCTGCATTGCTGTCCTGGGGCTGTTACTCACCCAAAAAACAGACTAAAAATAGTCTCTCTAATCCTGAGATATTTTTCAGTGTTGCTGTCTCTTCCAAGCCCACGTTAATCAGCACTTGGGATGGCCTGAATAGAAACCCACAGCTCCAGCAGCTGAGAAATGCAACTTGATGTTTATGATCAATGATCGTTAGGACCAATAAATCAGGCTGCAGCTCCACAAGGTGCTGTGCAGTCCCTCTGGGTGCTGCGGAGGGCATCCAGCTCAGCCCACAACTCCTGGAAAAACAGCATGCAGAGCTTCAGAAGGTGCTGGGCTAATTACTCCAAGGTAGCTGGGCTGGAGCTCAGCTTTTCAGGGCGAAATCAAGACATTTCTTTAGTGCTGGGTACCAGACACACTGCTGTGATCTCCATACTGGTCTGGTGATTCAGAAAGGCACAGAGAGGGCTCTCGGATGCAATTTCATCTCTGCTTGTAATGACAGGGAAGGGGAATATGAGAGATGGGACTTGGAAACCCGATGGGCTCTTTGGTGGGGGACTCTGCTGAGACTCTTCTCCGTGAGGAATAAGCCCTGCAAGCAGCGTATGGGTATATGCTGGTGATTTTGAGGCTGATTATAGCCACGGTGGGAGCCCGAGCTCTGCTTTCTCCAGCCCATCACCATGGCTTTAGCGCCGGAGCGGGTGGGCTTGCACAGCTTGCCTGGAGTGTGCGCTGGGGAGGGCAGAGCTGCGTTCCCCCAGCTGTTTTCTGAGTTATCTGTATCTCCCATCCCCATCAGTGACTTTAAAATGGCTTTGAGGAATTGTATTTTCAGGTCTTCTATCATTCGATCTCAGGTCAGGGCCGGCAGCTTTTCCTGCCTGCTGGCTCTGGCTGCCAAGGTTAATACATCACGCAGTGCTGGAAATGTCACAGGGTGCCATGCTCCCTTTGCAGAGAGACTGGCAAAATAATGAGAGGATTAATTAAATTCCTCTTCCTTGGGCGTGCAAGGGGCAGGATGCCAGGCTTTTCTCCCCAGGGTGGGTGCAGAGGGTCTGTCACCATGGCTATGCACAGCACCCTGCATGTGGGACGAGTGCACCGAGTACCTGATGTGGGTGCACCTGTGGTAGAACAGTTATGGGTCTCCCCAAAAGTCCCACAGCAGGAGGTTGCTTGTCTAGCCTATTCCTCTGCCAGCCCCCTCCCCGCTTGCAAGACTCCATAAATGCTCAAGTGGCTGGATTTTGGGAATCTCGTTCTCTCCCTGGGGCTGGGCCAGAGCTTTGTGTTTAGTCACTGATCTTTGGAAGTTCCTGTTGGGTTTTTTTCCTGTCCAGTGACTTCTAATCAAAGAGAGTAATTGCATTATCTCATCTCCCCTGGAGAGGTTCATGGAGTCCTCAGCAATCGTGTTCAGTTTTATACCGAGCCCCTAAAAAACCCCACTCAAAATGAGGTTTCTCTTACCAGAGCTCAGTGATGGCCACACATCAGTGGGGTGAACCCAGCTGGGCTGCGGAGCCCTGGGGGCTGGCAGGGCTGGGGAGGTGGTGATCCCTCTCTGGGAGATACGGCCCTTCAGAGGGGCAGAGCCAGGTGCCTTTGGAAAACACATTAACGTTCCCAGCAGCGTCCTGGGCTGAGCAAAGTGTTATCCCAATCCAAGGTCTGGATTGCTCCAGGATGCACTCCTCCCGATGCTGGGCACGGGGACACTGAAAGGCAAAAAGGCCCCTTGTCCTGTCCTAGCACGGATGCACAGGCTGATGTGGGCATGTGCTTGTGTTTGGGGAGGCTCGTGAGGTTGCGAAAATCTTTCCTTGCCTCTCTTGCCCCTTCCCATTGGAGCCTCTTCAGCCCTTCCTGGGGCTTTCCTGGCACAGGAAAGTTAATTCAGGTGTTTTCTTGTGTCGCCTGCAGTACGAGTTTAAAGCCAAGAACATCAAGAAGAAGAAAGTGAGTCTCATCGTGTCAGTGGATGGCGTGAAGGTCATTCTGAAGAAGAAGAAGAAGGTAGGCAGCCCCGGTCCTTGTGGCAGTGGGAGCCCTCTCTTCCTGATGCAGGGACCTGCAGGGTCCTTGAATTTCTGGGAGAATCTAGTGGTCCCCGCTAGAGGGAGGAATGGCCTGGGATCAGCCATGGATGAGCCATGTTCCGGCAGGATGGCAGAGCCAGCCCTGATGCGGGCGTAGAAGGGGCTGGGGGGGACCTCACAGGAGGTGGCGTGGGACAACACCAGCCCCAGCAGGATCCGGCCCTCGGCAAAGGGTCGCGGGGAAGCCGCAGTGGAGCTGTGACAAGTGCTTCCTGGGTCTGCCCTGACCTGTCTCTGCCCTGTTCTTGATCTCAAGGGCAGCATCTGACGTACTCATTTTCAGCTTCTTTCGTTGCAGAAAAAAGAATGGGCATGGGACGAGAACAAAATGCTCGTCATGCACGATCCCATCTACAGGTAAGCCCGCCTGCCAAAGGGACGGAGGCTTGCATGGCTCTGCCATGCCGCTTACCCCACACCAGCACTGTGCTGGGGACTGACTGCAGAGAGCGACCGCTGTCTTCTCCGAGGGCAGCTCCCCTCGCTTGCTGTGCTCTCCAAAAGTCCCCAGATCTTTTCTTTTGTCTCGCTCCCAAAAGCTGAGAGCATGGGACACAGTACCTGTGTCCTGGGGAAGCTGAATGGGAGCGAGGAAGGGCCCTAGCCATGCCGGGGAGGGAACATCGTGGTGGCTGGGATGGGTGCCTGGGCAAGGAGGTCAGCTCACCGAACAGGCCAGGCAGAGGAGCGAGGTTTGCTCTTCTTGGTCCTTGGAGGGCTCCTGGGCCAACGACTCTGTCCTTGGGGCTGAGCAGAGCCAGCCCCGTGCTGCCTTCACACAGTGCTTGCTGCTGCTGAGTCAGCAGGCTGATTTTCCCAGCCAAGGCAAAACCACTGCCAAAAAAATTTCTGATGGGCTTTAGCAGGGACGTGCTGCAGAGGCTGGGCGTCTGCCCACGCCCCATGCCCTGGGAGGTGCTGGCTGTGGCCTTCGCAGTCTCCTGGGCATGTGGGCAGTATGTCTGTTGATATCCTCCCCTCCTTTCTGTCCTCGCAGGATATTCTACGTGTCACACGACTCCCAGGACCTAAAGATCTTCAGCTACATTGCCAGGGATGGGTCTAGCAACATCTTCAGGTGCAACGTCTTCAAATCCAAGAAGAAGGTAAAGGTGCTGGGATGCTTATCCTGCTGTCAGGGGTCTCGGTGGGGTGGCTGGGGCAGGACGCGGTGGTGCTGCACTGCACTGAGCTCCAGTGCCTGTGGCGGCACAGAGACCCCTGAGAGCTGTGCCAGGCTGGGGAGGGCACCAGGCAGGAGCGGCTGAGGTTACTCTCCTCCTCTCCTCTCCTCTCCTTGCCTGCTGCAGAGCCAAGCCATGCGCATCGTCCGGACCGTGGGGCAGGCGTTCGAGGTCTGCCACAAGCTGAGCCTGCAGCACACCCAGCAGAATGCGGACGGGCAGGAGGACGGAGACAGCGAGAGGAACGGGGATGACCTGGATGTCCCAGGTACTCTGCGAGGGCAGAGGCAGGGGTGGCATGGGGGGGTCCTGGAGCCTGGCAGACGGTGCCTGCAGAGTTACTGTCTTCCCACACTGCTCCTTGCTGGCTGACACCTGCTGGGAACGGATTTGCACAGCAATCTGGCCTGTGGCGCCTCAGGCTCAAGCTGGGACCTTGCCCAGCAAGGAGCCTTCGCTAGGTGTTAGCCGTCATCCTCACAGACATGCCCCTTGCTGGGAGCCCATTAGCAGCACCTGGGACTCTGCTGGGAGCCTAAATGCTCTCCGTGCTCTGCTGCACATACCACAAACATGTCCTCACTGCTCCTGCAGAAGAGGCCCTGAGCACAGACCTTCCCCATGTCCCGAGGTGCTCCCGGCTCTCTGCCATGGACCCAGCTCATGGTCCATCGCCACCTCTGCAGCAACCTGTGGGTACAAAGCCACACTCAGGATCTTACATCAAGCTGCCAGGGCTGCAGGCAGCCTGCAGACCCCTTCTCCCTTCTCAGCCCCAGGGACAGGGAGTGCAGAGGTGAACCCCTTCACCCCGGGCTCTGCGGGACCCCAGGGAGCTGCTGTGCTTCTCGGTGCCGGCCATGGTGCTGGAGGGGAGGCTGATGTTTTGCAAGAGGTTGGTCAAATGTGTTCAGTGCGCGTCGGGATGCTGGCAGGTCCTGCTGCCTGTCCGGATGTGGGCTGCCTGCCCTGCAGCCCCACTCTGGGTGCTGGATCCCCCCAACCCAGCAGGAGCAGCCTGGGCTGTGCTGTGGTTTCCTGCCTCTGCAGCCAGCGCTGTCATGATGACCTAATCGTTGGACTGTCCTGGACCGGTCATTGTTTGTTTTTCCTTCACACGATGTCCCAGCTATGATATGCAGTTCCCTGGGGATTTCTGAGCATCCAGTTTTTTTTCCCCTGTAATCTCTTGTTTACCTTTAGCTTTCTGTGTTTTCTGCTCTCCATGGCCTGTTTCTCCCATATCAGGGGTTTTGGCTGCTGTTCCCCAGGTTTGGCGTGCTGGGGTTGGCTGTGTTTTCAGCCACAAGCCCCATCCTGGGCGGCAGCAGGAAGCGCGGCCGTATCGCTCTGTACCTGCTTCCCCCGGAGCTGGAGGGTGGGTGTCACGGGGATGGTGAGGACCGATGAGCATTGCTCGCCGTCCCGTGGTCGTATCATAGCAAGCTCCCGCTCCAAGCGGCCCATGCTCCGCTCTGACACGGCTCCCGGCGG